CAGTCCCTTCCCTGCTCGTTGCAGATAGCCATCAACTTTCTAGCAAACGGGTGACCAGGCATCATGTGAAGCTGGATGGCTCAATCTAAAAAGAGCTAGAAAAGAGGAAAGAAATGAATCCCAGAGATACAGTTTGTAACTATGTGTGAACTTCAGGCATGCAAATCCCCAGCTATCAGAAAGGGACAGAAGAAGGCACACACAAGGAAGGTTGGTTGGACAGAGCACTATTTTTAGCAAAATAAAATAAAATAAAAATGGAAAAGGTCCTTAAAAAGATATGTTAACTTAAAATTAAGAAAGGCTTTTCAAAGTGAGAGGGAGCAAGGGTTTATTTGACATCGATAGGAACCATTAATTCATGCAGAAGCCCAAATAGTGTACTGATTAGGAGATGGAGGCGATGGGCATTTATGAGAAAGGGAAGGGGACTGATTACATCAATGGAAGGAAGGCATTTTTATTGGTGCAGATGAGCTAACATAGTGATGCTGATTCTGAACAATGCTTTTAGTTTGCAGCCCAGTAGTCCTCAGTGCAGTAGTCATAACGTCTGTTTTCTAGTTATCTTTGCAAACCGTTGGGCCCATGGGACAGGAGAATGAGGGGCTGCCACAGGACACCATTAAGAGACGCCATATGAAATGGCCACTTTAACATGTGCCAGAGCTGCCATGCACCAGGAACGGCCTTTCACATCTTATATTCAAACTTTTGGAATATTATACTCAGGACAAAATAACCTTAGGACTGGGCCTAGACAACCTGTCCCATTAGATGGACTGGGCCGAACTGGTGTTTGGGGAGGGAGAGATGAGTCAGGAATGTTAATAGAACTTTGTGTAACCTGGAAATAATGTATAAAATCCAGAGAGACACCAGGATCAGGGGAGAAGCGGGATTGGGGACGGCCCCTCAGTGTCCTCCTGCGATCCCTCTGTTTTGGCTTGGCACCTGAGGGACGGGGGAATAGAGGTGAGGAGACCACCTTTGGAGTTGTGTCTGGGTTTGTACATCAGGAAAGATTACTGTCTCTTAATGGCGTCCTGTGGCAGCCCCTCTCTATTTGGTGAAGCCCCATTCACTCTGGAAGTTTTAACTACACTTGTGTTGAACTTGGATAAGATACCAAAAGGTTATAGAACGCCCCCCTCATCACGCGAGGGCAGGTCTCCAAGGGCACATTATTGTTTACACGTATAATAATTCAATTGCATTGGCTGGTCCCTCTGAGGGTCGGGATTTTTGCTAGGGGCTTGGGATAAAGAGAGGAGCATGATTTGCCTCTGGCCCAGGGGGATTCTGTGTAGCTAAGAAGACCAATATCTAAATAAAAAGTTGTCATACGGCATGACAAAGGATCTACTAGGGAAATATTTTTTTAAGAGTGATAGGAACGTAGAAGAGGGAACAATTAAATAAATCCTAGGGACTCAGAAGAGAGGAGGTGACTTTTAAACTACACAGAAGGGAAAAGGGAAGGCATCTTTCTTCAAATGGAATCATATGAAATTGCCAACATGCAACCCTATTGACCATAAAAGCAAAAGGTCAATTTTTGATGGTTTATCTTAACAATAAGAGCAGGACCGGCATGCAGATTGCATCCCTTTCACCGACTCTGATTGAATGGTGGTAACTGCCCCAAAGCTGTGTTGAGAATGATTCTGAGGATTCCAGGGCAACAGGAAAGAATAATATTGGAATTGTTCAGTGGTCTGTCCCGACTAAGGAATGGGTCTAAATTAAACATACTTGCCATACTTAAATGATAAGAAGTTTTAGAAACAAAATCACAGAAGTCTTAGGGTGTCCTCCTGGGTGTAGGCAGGCCCCGGTAGTCAGAGGTGGATGGGCTATACTGGGGATGATGGGGGTGTGGGTGGAAGACTCACTTCTGGAGACCTCTTAGACGGCTGTATCACAACTTGCTTTGGACGACCTTGTAAACACCCCCGATACTACTGCTTGTACCCCACTATCTATTCAACTTGCTTAAACATGCACCACCCGCACCCCCCACCCCAGAGAAATGCACGGAGGTTACAGTGTATTCCTCCGCTGCTTTGCTTTTGCTTAATTCAAAGCTTTCTTTTAAGAAAAGGTCACAGAGTACTGAGAGAACACACAATCAGTACTTTGCAAATTAAATTGGAGGATGTTTTTAGGTAACATCACAACCAAGTCCTGTGACAGTGGACATTTCGTTTTACAAAGGTCAAAATCATTGCATAAAGGATTTTTTTAACTACTTAGAGGGCATCCAAAGAAGCTATGTCAGAGCAGTTTCTCAGGACCCACAGCATAAGAAAGCGAGGAAAGCGTCATTACGTCCTGCCAGGATTCAGCCTTCTAGAGGGAATCTGTGTCGTGTCTCATTGACACCCCTACATTGCACTGGGGTTATTGAAAATCAGTCCATGATTTTAACTGTGAAATACTAAAATGCCCTTCTGCATATATATTTGCTACAATTACATTATTTTCCTTTTGAAACCTATATACCCCAAGACATTTCAGATCTCATTTTGATAGTGGTTCTTTCTAAAAATATATATATATATTTTATTGATTTCAGAGAGGAAAGGAGAGGGAGAGAGAGAGAGAGAGAGAGAGAGAGAGAGAGAGAGAGAGAGAGAAACATCAGGGATGAGAGAGAATCATCTAACAGCTGCCTCCTGTCCACCCCCTTACTGGGGATTGAGCCTGCAACCAGGGCATGTGCCCTGACTGGGCATTGAACCATGACTTCCTGGTTCATACGTTGATGTTCAACCACTGAGCCAAACTGGCGGGCTTAATGGAGGTTCTTACCCAGGGGTGCCCGGGAAAGTCTCGTGGAAGAACTTTCTCCTGCCCCACCTTCCCTAGCCCCACTCTAGAAGGTTCTGATTTAGTAGCTCTCTCTCGATCCCATGGAAACATTAGCTTCTTTCCAAGAGTTCTAGCAATGAGCCAAAGGAGTCTCACTGGAAAAGCATGGTGGGGGGTAGGGCCTGTCTTTTCTGCTGGGTGTCCTACCTCCTGTTGGCTGATTTTAGACCCCGAATCCCATGGTCTGATGTTCAGTCCATTTGCGGTTCATCCCCATCACAGACCAGCCTCCTGACAGAACTGGAAATACCCACTGCGGAGAAAGTAGGTCATGTGAAGGCTCATAAGTTACAATAAACTGTTCTCACCTACAGTAGGAAGAAGAAAGCACTGTCAGTTTAGCAAAGGTTGATTATGACTCAGGCCCATCCAGACTCTTAATACACTTGCTACCAAGGGAAGGTCAGTGAATTCCACTCTACATCTGGGCTTTTAGGGAGGAGTGGGCGGGGGGCTCTCCTCCAGCTATAAGCCAGGACCCCAAGGCAAGCAGGAGAGGGACTAGGGGACATTCCTTCAGATGGACCTTCCTCCCAGGGGCTACTTCTCCTCGTCACACATTGGATGGACTGGGCCGACCTGGTGTTGGGGGAGGGAGAGATGAGTCAGGAATGTTAATAGAACTTTGTGTAACCTGGAAATAATGTACAAAATCCAAAGAGACACCAGGATCAGGGGAGAAGTGGAATTGGGGACAGCCCCTCAGTCTCTTCCTGCGATCCCTCTGTTTTGGCTTGGCACCTGAGGGACGGGGGAATAGAGGTGAGGAGACCACCTTTGGAGTTGTGTCTGGGCTTGTACATCAGGAAAGATTACTGTCTCTTAATGGCGTCCTGTGGCAGCCCCTCTCTATTTGGTGAAGCCCCACTCACTCTGGAAGTTTAAACTACACTTGTGTTGAACTTGGGTAAGATACCAAAAGGTTATAGAACGTCCCCCTCATCACCCGAGGGCAGGTCTCCAAGGGTCCAGGTGAGTTCCAGGTTCCCTGAGACTCAGGCTTCCTTTCATAGGGGATTGCTTTCCTAGGATGGTGGGAGAATATAGAGAGCAGTGGAGGTGCTGACCTTGACCGGACAGGGAAGTGTATTCCCATCGTCAGGAATGGGCGGCCAGCTCCTCAAACGTCTCCCTCCCACTTTGCAAAGCCTCGGAGTTTGAGCAGCAGTAGGAGAGCAGACTTGATACCCCGAAGAGCCCTGGCCCTCGTCCTTGGAGGGAGTGGTTGAACAAAACATGGCCTAGATTGAGAGATATCTCAGGAGTCCACCATTCTTCACGCTATAAGCTTCCCCTTTGCAAGGATGAGCGGGGCCCTTTGCTGTAAATCGGGGGGCAAGTCCTCGCTGCAGTGCCGCTGTGGGCAGTCTTCAGGGGCAGTGACACAGCCTCTCCCATGGGGGACTGGGAGCTTTAGGGGAGACGCAGGAGACGCAGAAGTCCTAGATGGTCTCACCCCGAGTCCACAGGGGGGTCAGGGTGGGTCACAGGAACGGCGAAAGTTGCATTTGTTTCTTCCCTGTCTGACTTGTGCTCTTCCTCAGAAGAACTGATTTGGACTTAAGGGTGGGTGGTGGGGGAGGAACACTTTTCTATAAACATAGCAACACACGTGCTTGCCATTTGCTGAGTAATGATTCTGAGCCAGCCCCTGTGCTGGGCATGTCTCCGTCATACGACTCACCACCCCTCCTGCAGGTAGGTATATTCACCCATTTTCCAGATGGGACTCCCAAGGCACAGAGAGGTACAGTCACTCACCATGATCACACAGCCAAGTAGTGTCTGAGTCAGGCTTGTTATCTCGTTCTCCCTGAAATGTCCACACTCCCCTTTGAGCATGGCATGCTGCTTCCGTTATGGACCTGAAGCTGGGGTCCTGGGCCAGCCAGGCTCCCCTACGCCCACCCCGTGGGGAAAGGAATGACATGTGCTTGGTGGGCTGGGGGCGGGCCCCCCCGGCTCCCTCTGGCTAAGGCAGGGGCTGCTGTGGGGGTCCCGTCACGCGCTCTGGGGTGTGGCTATGTTTTCATTTGCCTGCCTTTCTCGTTTGCGTTGCCGTGATCTCTCAGGTGTAGTGTGCCTGTTCCCAAACCAGATACCATCTATCTCTCTCTCTTTCGTAGGCACGGTGCTGTTGTGCCAGGCAAACCAGGAGGGATCTTCCATGTACAGTGCCCCCAGTTCACTTGTATATACTTCCGCAAGTAAGCCCATGTTGTGGCTCCTTTTTTTGTTTTGTGACATAACTCTGAGTCCAGTCACCTTCCCTGCCATGTAAGTCCCCTTCCCCTCCCTCCGCCCCGCCCTCCCGCGTGGCCCCCTCCAGGTGAATTTGGTTTCCATGAGCATGTCTCTGTTTCCCGTTGCCTTAGCATCCAGTCCCTCTGCTCATTACGTCTGAATCCTCACGTCTCGGATGTCCCAGCCATTCTTTGTGCAGACCTGTCAGGACTGGGTCCAATGGATGGGACATGGGGTATTGGGGTCGGGGAGGGGAAGGGAAGGAGGGAAGAAGCTATAGCTCATTGTCTGCCTTCTACCACAGCTTTGTAAATTCATAGGAGAAATATTGAATTAAAGCATTCAGGCCATTCAACTGGCAGCCTAGCCTAGCAGAGGTGCTGGGTCAGTCCTCTTGAACTGAATTTCCTCACTGTGGGAAATATGAGTAGCCTGGGCTAGTGACTTGTTTGCAAGGCTGTTCTATCCTTGGCTATGTGATTCCATTGAG